TAAAATAAATAATTATATATTTAAAAAAAAGAAATATTAACAAAGACTAATAGAGAAAAGGGCACTTCCATACCATCAAACAAATACGGGTGATCCACACACTTTCGAAGCTGAGACAAGATGTTCTGAAGTTTAACTTTCTTTGCCATCTCATTCTCAAATGCATCTGAAATTTGAAGAGAGAGATGAACTACCAAAACAAAACAAACAACAAAAATCTCCCAAGTTTCTATAAATTATCTTAGTCATTTCAGTAACATACCCTTCAAACCTATATTAACCTCCCGAATTTCACTGAGTTGCATTGAGAATCAATAATACGTCTGTAAGAAAATTTCTTTACCATCACTTTGTTTAAAGAAGGAAGCCTAAACTATAAGTGGAACTCAGGTGTACTTTCTTTTACTTCTGCAAAATTCTCAGTTTCCTTCTGTAACAGTTGTAGAGTCCAGGGCCAAAAAACAATGTACACTGAGAGACTGTTTCACTCCTGTCACTCTCTTCTCGCTCCTAATTTCTCCCAGTGAATGTGATTCAACAAAAGTCTTATAATCTGCTACCTATCTGACAGGGCGGGAGGATGTGAAGCACAACTGGGAGACTTGAATGTGTTTGCTTAATCATAGGCACTAAGGAAAACTGAGTGAGGGGGGGAAAGGAAATTTCATAACTGCAATGGCCAAGTCTGAATATCCATTCAAGATTCTCTGCCAGTCTCGCTGTAGCTGACCTGAATATTACTCAGAATACAAAATTCCATCCCATATTCTTGCCATACAAAGTTAACATGCTTATAAATATTCTCCTGTGTGAAAATCACAGCCTCATTTAGTTTCTAAATGAACAAGATCCCTCTCATTACCTAGGTCTTTCATCAAAATGGCTTTGTAGTATTTTTTCTGCAATTCTGACATGCCATGGTATATCACGACTTCTGTCTTCTTAGGAAGCTCTGTAGCAACCTCAGCTTTCACTCGCCTTAGCAGAAATGGCTGCAAGAGTTTGTGTAGTTCACTTGCTGTGCAAGAGAAAAAAATAAGAGATGTGCAGGACAAAACTAGCACCAAGACACCAAACTGCTAGAGAACATATAGAAATTTAGTTTTTTTAATCTCATTTTCATGCTAATTATGCATTCTACGCTAGAATGATAATTTTTCATGGTATTTTTTCCTTCACTGGGTTCTCCACAACTCCTTCTATAATCATTATTGGCTCTTAACTCAAGAACTAGGAACACTCAACGATTCTTACTAATAACGTGCAGGAAGCTCATTTGTTTACAAGACATTTTTGTACTTCATCTCGTTGATCATCATAACAGCTTATAAATGTAAGGTAAGTAATATTGTCTCTATTTTCTTTTTTAATGCCAGAGGGCATATGTGTGCATGAGAGAGAGATAGAGAGAGAGAGCAAGCACACCCAATGGACCAGTCAGACTATAATGCCTCCTCTTTTATCTCTTCATCCTGTGAGGATACTGGGCATTTATATACACACGCATGTATACTGGTGTGTTGGTGTCAGGGCTGGGACTCAGACCAAAGTCAGTCATGTGGAATCTGGTACCCTTTACACAGTATTCACCACTGTACTACAAGACTAGCCCAGTACTGTCTCCACTTTTATAGCTGAGTTAAGTGAGACTCAGAAAAGTTATGCAACTTGTCCAAAGTCATGCAGCTGTGTGTAAATCTTGCCATCATTTAAAGATCTTTGACTTTAAATCCCTCGTCTCTTCCCAGGTCTCTTGAACTTCAAAACCAAGCCTATATTATAATCGTATTATAAACAGGATCGCTAGATACACCAAATAAAAATACAGATGCCCAGTTAAATTAGAATTCAGAGAAACAATGAATATCTTTTTTTTTAGTTTTGCTATAGGGCATGTGCACTCATCAGATAGACGGAGAGAAGTGAGAAATCACCCTCCCCTTCCCCGCCATCCCCTCACCCCCTGCCAGGAGATGGCCACGCTGCAATGCCTTCACCTCCAGTCTCCTCAGATTTTCAAGCTGCCAGTTCCAGGACTCAAACCATGGTTGGCTATGTGGGATCCAGTGCCTTAACTTCCATGTCATCTGCTAGCCCATAATGAAAAACGTTTTAATACAAGTATGTCTCATGCACTATTTGACTGGATGGCCTATAGTTTCTCTGGCAATCCTGAACATGAGAGCAATCATAGAAGGCTCCTCAGATATTCTTTGGCTTGTGGTATTGGGATTTTTGCTGTGAAAAGCCCTTTCAACTCACAGTTACCTAGCACACACATCCTCAGCTGGCAGGCCTACCTTTTGTTCTGAATAACCACCCTGGAATAGTATCGCTGGGATAGACAGGTATGAGAGGGAGAGAAGTACGACTGCCACCTGTATGGTGAGGAAGGCTTCCCTCCTTCGCCGATGCCTCTCTCATCCTAGACTTCTACTTTTGGTACACTATCGAAAGCAGCACCAGGGGCTGGACGGCGCAGTGGTTAAGGTGCTATATCCTACATGGCCAACTGTGCGGTTTAAGTCCTAGACTCAGAGGCTTAAAAAACACGCCAGCCTTAGTGTGTGTGCCCAAAATCTAAGAGGAGAATGAAGCAGGGACTGCAGTATGGTCATACCTCTGGGGGGGGGGGGGGGACTTCTCACTTTCTCTCTCTCCAGTGAATGCACATGCCCTATAGCAAACTAAACAAAAAGAGAGAGAGAGAGAGGCCCCATACTGCAGAATGTTGGATGGTAGTTTGAAACTATAGCACTCCACATTCTTTCCTGCCTTGGCAAATGGCATGGGAAGTTATCAAAGTCTTAATAGCAATTATGAGCTGAAAAAAAAGAAATCTGGGGGCCAGCAAGCGGTGTGTTGGTTAAAGGTGCTAGACTCCCACGTAGCCAACCACGGTTCAAGTCTTGGACCTGGTGGCTTGCTTTCTCACTTCCTCTCTCTCTCTCTCTGTCTCTCTCTGATCAAACTGAAAAATAATAATGATATTAATAAATAAAGTTAAATAAAATAATTCTTTAAAAAGAAAAAAAAGAAATCTGTAAATCAGTAGGCACTTTCTGTTTCTTCCAAAAAAGAACCAAATGAGCCCTATCATGGAATCATGAAGCAAATAAGAGTCATAAAAACAATAGGAAATAACACGAGGGACTAACATCTACCTTATAATGGTGAGGCTGTATCTCCCTGGAAGGTGTCTCTGGCTACCAGTTCTCTGTCCTAGCAGTAATCAGTTTCTGTGCCAAGAACTCTTGGGGATAATTTATAGGGAGGCAACTTGCCTGACTCAGAATCTTTCTCAATATCCTGGTAACGGTAAACAAAATCTTCCACCTCCTCCTCGGGGAAGAGATCAGGCTCCACAAAACTGAGGAGGGAGTAGAGTTCTTGGAGGCTGTTCTGGATGGGAGTTCCAGTCAACAGGAGACGGAAAGCTACTGAGAACTAAAACACACAAATAAAATTAAAAATCCATAACACTGAAGAGCAAGACTGAATTACCCATCACAACATTTACCCACAGAGAGGCACAATTTAATGGAGTGACCGAGGGGACATGAAATTGAAGGCTTAGGTTCCTGTTGTATACTAGCTATTTGACAGGAAATAGTAGCTCTTCACTTTCAACTAGAAGTGGCTAATAACTCTGAGAAAAGGTACTGTTATAAGGCTGTAAGTATGGGTCATTGGAAAAGTTATGACACATTTTTGTATAGAAAAACAGAAAAATATGTCATGAGTTTTCCAACGACCCAATGATATCACTCTGCGAACTCTGAGGTACTACACAAATACACTGGACTTCCACATGGCCGACCATGGTTTGAGTCCCAAACCTGGAGGCTTGCTTTCTCACTTTCCCGCTCTCTCTGGTGAGAGTATATGCCCTATAGAAAATTAAAATAATAATTAACTCAAAAAAAAGAAAAAAGGAAAAAATGGTAGTGCTCTCACTCATTCATGAATTAAATAAATGTGAAAGTTTCTTTCCAGACAACTAGTTATCCACAGTCCATATCTCGGCAAAAAGAACTATTTAGATGACCTAAAACAACTTTTTTTCTTAACCCCTCTGAGATTTAGTTTCCTTATAAATAACAAGAAAAAGCACTAAGGCCAGCCACCAAACTGAGCTTCCCCACCCCAACTTCAGGCTTCTTTCACTACACCTGCTTCTCTCTCCTCACTGTTCATTAGTAAACAGGTAGGGTAGCTCAACACCAGGATATAACAACTGCTTTGCTTTCAAAGTGTCCCTTCCAAAATTCAGGTGCTGCCAGGGTGATACTATTAAGAGATAAGAGCCTAGAAGAGGTGATTATCTCTCATGAATAAGATTAAGATCCTTAAGACATACACTTCATGCTGCATTTAGCTAGCTTGCCCTTCAGACCCGTTTTGGCTTTCAGTCTTCTACCACATCAGGACACAGTAAAATAGTAAAATGGCCTTTACAGTGCCTCGATCTTGGAGTGCCCAGCCTCCAATACTGTGAGAAAGGAGTTTCTGTTCATTGTAAAGTACCCAGTCTACTGCATTCTGTTACAGCAGGACAAATGAACTAAGACAACAACCTCTTGGGAAAGAGACTATTAAGAGTCCCAATAGGAGACCAGCAGATGATGTAGTGGTTACCTTGCTGGACCTTTACATGGCTGATGGCAGTTCGAGTCCCTGACCCAATGGCTTGAAACTCACACTGGGTGCATGTGCGTGTGTGCCCAAAATCCTGGAGGAGAAAGGACTACAATGTGGCCATTCTCCCTGGGGAGTGATTTTTTGCTTTCTGTCTCTTTGTCTCTCCAGGAGAAAGTCCCAACCAATAGCAAAAATCTCTCTAGAAAATAAAAATTAAAAAAAAAAAAAAGAGAAAGTCCCAACAGGATCAGCCCATAGTTTGGTTGGAACAGCTGGATGCCACATGGCTGGGACATAGTTCAGGTCCCGGACTCACTGGCTGGGGAAACATGCTAGGTGCATGTGCATGCATCTCCAAAGTCCTGAAAGGAGAGAGAAATGGAAGAGAATGGATTGCAGTGTCACTGTTCCCCACTAAGTAGGGGGTGCTTTCTCACTTTTTTTTCTCTCTCTCTAGCACCTCTGGCAATAACTTTTAAAAAATAAAATAAAAAGAGTCCTTACACAGAAGGTAAAGAACACCAGAGCACAGAGGGAGCCTGACCATGGGGTAGCAATCTTAGAAACTGGGCAAATAATAGACAGTGACCGTATCTACATTAGACTCTAAAAACGGCAACTTTCAGCGACTAAACTTCAGTTATTGTCAGAAATGAACATATTCTAAACCTGGCTTTTCTCTGATCAAGAAAGAGGGCACTTCATATTTCTATAGGCTCCTCAGGGCAAAACAAGGCAAATCTAGCTGAAAATATTTCTCATCTGCTTTGCCAGAATGATGCAAGAGAGCAGAAGGGAATGAGGTTAAGGTCATCATACTCAGAAGCGTGACAAAGAGGACAGACTGGAGGTACCATTCAACGGCATGAGACTGGTTTCTCCATGATTCCATATGAACTGTCAAAATTTTTTAAACAGGCAGACTGGGGGAAGGATGCAGTATGTTTGATAGAGATACTATTGCAGACACAAGAATTGTAAGGCTCTTTTCTTTTTTAAGAAATTGCATCTTTGAAGATTATCAAAACAGAACTGAAATACTTCCAAAAACATACTGTATTTTATAAGGGCAGGGTCTTATTCGATAACCAAATTTTAGCAATAATCCCCTATACAGAATAAAAGAGGAAAAAGGAGAAGTTAAGACTCTGGAAGAGGAATGAATAGATGGAACCCAGATTTTTCGCGCAGTAAAACTATTCTATTTGACACAATAATGGTGGACATGGCCATGACACATCTGTCCAAACCCGCATCAACCATGAACCTAAAGTAACTATGAACTTCAGGTGATGATGTGTCAATCGATGGCCATCAGTGGCCATAAATGTACCAGTCTGATGGAGAATATTGATAAGGGGGAGGCTGTGCATGGTGGGGTCAGGGCACGAGGGAAATGTCTGTACCTTCTGCTTAATTTGCTGTGACTCCTGAAGTGCTCTAAAAATTAAAGTCTACTGGGGCTTGCAGGTGGTGTAGGGGTTAAGATGCTGGACTTCCACATGGCTGACCACAGTTTGAGTTCTGGACAAAGTGGCTTCGATAATAAGCAAGGCACACGTTCATGTATGCCCAAAACCCTGAGCAGAGAATGGAGAAGGGATTGTGGCATAGCCATACCCCCAGGGGGTGATTCTCACTTTCTTTCTCTCTGTCTGCAGCAAGCACATGTGCCCTATGGTAAAACAAACAAACAAACAAACTAAAAAAAAAAAAAGTCTACTAGAAAAAAAAGATGGGGGAGGGTGACTTACATGAGAATTAAGACCATCCTATGAGTTTACCTCTGAAAGTGTCTTATGCAGCAAGGAACTTTGGTTTTTCAACCTGTGAGCTTCATCCACAACAAGAACATTCCAAGGGAAGCTGTGAGAGAAAATCCAAGCTTTAGGTATAAATTCCATCAGAAAGAGAGACAGTCACTTCCAACAAGACCATTATACTATGACTCAACCCATCTCCGCCAGCCTGGATCATGGGCATGCATGTACACACCAGCATGCCCAGGACAACCCAGAATGCATCCCAGGACCTTTCCTAAGTGGGTCCAGTTGCATCACCACTGCTACAACCACCTGGTTTTAAATAATATAGGACTTAGTGTTACAAAGATGTCCAGGAAGATACACCCATTATTGTTAATATAGAGGTCACTGGTAGCTATCGCCAGAGGACATTTTGTTACACAGTAGGTTACGAGAGCAATTTCTTTTCATTTCTCTTCTCCTTTTCTTTTCTAGAGAGATTTTTGCTATAGGGTGCATGTGCTTGCTGGAGAGACAGAGACAGAAAGACAGAAAGCAAGAGGGATGGCCACACCTCAATCCTTTCTCATCCATTCTCCTCTCAGGATTTTGACATGCATGCACATTCACCTGGTGTGGAGTTTTAGCCGCTGGGTGGCTAAAGCCTCCTGTGACGTAACCATCACACCATCTGCTGGTCCCTACAAGAGCAATTTCTAAAAAAGTTGCAGTCATAAAAGCATATCCTCTGATAGATAACTACTGCAAAGTTATTTAAAAAAATTCAAAATATGAGCAAAGATGTACAAAAGCACTTCTACAAGTTTGTGGAAAATGGAATGAGTATGACTTTTGCTATAAAAATTGTTTTGAAACCCAAGCATGTCTTTTCATAATTGGCACTGTCCAAGAGCTTTCTGAAGACACTTCATATGCATGAATATGCTCCAACTTGCATCAAAGAAAACAGCAAGAAACTGAAAATAACCTCAATGTCCAATAATATGTAATGAAATATGATACAACATTTTAAATATAGTTATGTTACAAAAAAGACTTATGTGGTAACCAAACGAAAATAAAAAAGTGGAAGTCACATAAAAGATAAAAAAAGTGGAATTAGTGGCAGTTTATCACCGGATACAAATTTAACCAACATAGCAATCATGCCAGAGGAATTGAAACATTTTCAAGACAGACATATGTACAAACTATGTTTTGTACATTTCAAAACCAATTAAACAATAAAAATGTACAAACAGTCTGTGTATCACATATCAAACTCAACAACGGGGTGAAAACATCAATAAGTGAGATTACAAAGGCACTTTCCTACACAAAAGATGAAATGAAAACAGAGCCTACAGGAGCTTTGACAGTGCATAACTACTGTACAATCTCCAGGGCAACAAAAAGCAGATTTAATCAAACATTTTTTTTTTTTTTTTTTTTTTTTACCATGTACCAGTGACCGGGCTATGGCAGCTGCTGAGTAGAAACAGCCCCCATGCAAAAATCACAGGATTGATCTTGCCCACTGTATCCACTGGAGAGCTGTACCTGCACAACAGCACCCAGCAACCACAGGGCAGCAAACTTGTTTTTCTTTTTAAAGTTTTTTGCCTTAGGATACATGCACTTGCAAGAGAAAGACAGAGACAGATACAGTGAGAAGAAAAGTAAGAAATCACCCCCCAGGAGAGGTGGCCATGCCACAATCCCTTCTCCTCCATTTTCCCCCTGGGATATTGGGCGCGCGCACACACACACACACACACACACACACACACACACACGCATGCCCATATGCCCGGCGTGAGTTTTAAGCCACCAGGTCCAGAAATCGAACAGCAGTCAGCCATGTGGGAGTCCAGTGACATAACCACTATGCCATCTGCTGGCCCCTTAGCACACATTTTTAAGATTCAACGTGACCTTGCCAAAAAAAAAAAAGTTCAGTCTCATCTTTTTAGTTTTTGTTATAGGGCATGTGCACTCACTAGAGAAACAGAGTGAGATAAAGGGAAAAAAGGAAAGTGAAAAACCTGCAATCCCCTTTCTTCTATTATCCGCTCAGGATTTTGGGCACAGAGCCACTTGTGCCTGGCGTGTTTTTCAAGCCACCAGTTCTAGGACTCGAACCGCACACTCAGCCTTGTGGGATTCAGCCACCTTAAACACCATCTGTCTGGCTGGCCCAACACACACCCTCATCTTTATTTTTATGCTGTTTCTCTTGGCTTTCTCATTCTACACTTCAGCTCTTTGATGATCACGTTTGTCTGACCAGTCCTTGTTATCGGCATGATCTCAATTGAGGGAATGTTCTTTGCTTCCACTATGCTTCCTAGAGTTTTCTTTGCTGGTGCCATATTCCCATTTCTTTCTTATTTTTCAAGTCTCAGTACTTCCTTGACTTCTGCTGCATTTATTTATTTTTCTTTACTTTCATTTTTATGTTTACTTGATTTCTCTCTGTTCCTGCTTCTACTTTGTTTCCCTGCATTTCTTCTTCTACTCTTACTTTAAACCTCTGGACCAGAAACTAACTCCTTATAACTCTCTCGAAAGGTAATTGGAGAATGTTTGATATAATATATTGACAAGAGCCTTCCAAACTAATTACAGTGAACAAGAATGTTAATCCTACAACTGCTGCCTTCATGGCCATTGAAAGCTCACAACATCCAGGATTCGTTCTCAAAATCTTTAGCATTCTGTTACAAAAAGCCCAGCCATGCTAGCTTCAGCTTGATACATCATTTTTTAAAAATTTCAAACTTTCTTATTGATAATAAAGATTGCTGTTTGAGGTTTTTAAAAGAATTATTTTTAAAAAATTTTAACTTTATTGATTTATTTTAATTTGACCAGAAAAGGACAGGGTGAGAGAGAGCATGAGATTGTGAGAGCAAAAGCAAGAGAGAGAGAGAAAAGCCACCAGCTCTAGGACTCGAACTGCGGTTGGCCACGTGAAGAGTCCAGTGCCCTTAACCACCATGCCACCTGCAGGCCCCCTGTCTGAGTTTTTAAACTTAATCTAGAATAGAGAAGTATTAAAAGTAATGCTGTACTGCATTATTTAAGACTATTAGCAAACTGATAGATTGTTCTTATGTATTCTGATTCCAGAGAACCATCACAAATGTGGAATAAATACTGGATTAAATCCTTAAAAAAAAGATGAAACTTGATTTAGTTTGTAGATGTTCCAGAATCCCATTACATGATTTTAATACTTAAAAAAAATATATTAAATTGCAGTTTTGTGTTGCTGAAATTTACCATTTGGGGGCCAGCAGATGGCATAGTGGTTACATTGCTGAACTCCCACATGGCCAAACTTGATTTCAGTGCCAGACCCGATGGCTTCAAACTCATGCTGGGTGGGTGTGCATGTGTGCCTAAGACCCCAGGAGAATGTAGGAGAAGTTATTGCAGTATGGCTATCCCTCCTGAGGGATGATTTTTCATATTCTCTCTCTTTGTCTTTCTGTAGAGTGCACATGCCCTATACAAAAATCTCCAAAAAAAAGGAAATCAATTTGCCATTTGATACTAGATATATTTTTAAATAAATGTGGTTATGTGATACATCCGTTTAATGCCCATTTCTCACTTTATTCATTTTGCTAATGACTTATTACTTGCTGTTTATTTTATATGTATTTTAGACTATGGAAATGGAGTTTAGACAAAAAAGCAAACGAGTGATTTTCTCATTCAAGTTCTGTGAAGACAACTTGCACCATCAATAACCCATTGGCCTAGGAACTGCTAATGAATGTACAATGCCGTGGTGGTTCAGGGAGTTTTGCAAAGGAGACGAGAGCCTTGAAGAAGAGGAATGTAGTGACCGGCCATCAGAAGTTGACACTAGTTGAGAGCAGTCAATGAAGCAGATCCTCTTACAACCACCCAACAAGCTGCTGAAGAACTCAACATCAACCATTATATGGTCATGTGCCATATGAAGCAAATTAGAAAGGTGAAAAAAACTCGTTAAGTGGGTGCCTCATGAGCTGACCAAAAATTTAAAAAATTGTTTTGAGGTGTGGTCTTCTCTCATTCTATACAACAACAAACCGGATTGTGACTTACAGTGAAAAACTGATTTTTTTTCTTTTTTCTGTGGGAAGGTTTTTGCTATAGGGGCACGTGCGCATGTCAGAAAGACAGGGAGAGACAGAGAGAAAGAAAGTGAGAAATCACCCCTCGGGGGGATGACCACAATCCTTTCTCCTCCATTCTCCTCTAGGGATCTCGGGCACCCATGCACACGTGCCTGGCGTGAGTTTAAGCTACCAGGTCCGGGACTTGAACCATGGTCAGTTACATGGGAGTTCAGTGACATAGCCATTACGCTAACTGCTGGTCCCAACAATGAAAAATTGATTTTATATGACAACTGGCAACAACCAGCTCAGTGGGTGGATTGAGAAAAAGCTCCAAAGCACTTCCCAAAACCACACTTGCACCAAAAAAAGGTCATGGTCACTGTTTGGTGGGGTCTGATCCACTACAGCTTTCTGAATCCTGGCAAAACTATTACATCTAAGAAGTATGCTCAGCAAGTTGATGAGATGCAATGAAAACTGCCAACGCCTGTAGCCAGGACTCGTCAACAGAAAAGGCCTAATTCTCTGCGACAACACGCAACTGCACATCACACAACCAACACTTCGCAAGTTGAATGAACTGGGTTACTAAGTTTTGCTTCATCTGCCATATTCACCTGGCCGCTCACCAACCACTTCTTCAAGCATATTGACAACTTTTTACAGGGGAAATGCTTGCTCAACCAACAGGATGCAGAAGATGCTTTCCAAGAGTTCATCAAATGCCAAAGCATGAATTTTTACCCTACATGAATAAACAAATTTATTTTACGTTGGCAAAATGTACTGATTGTAAAGGTTCCTACTATGATTAATAAAGATATGCTTGAGCCTAGTTGATTTAAAATTCATGGTCCAAAGCCACAGGTGCTTCTGCAGCAATCTTATAATAGGGACCAGCAGTGCATGGAGATTAAGGTGACTAGATCCCACAAGGCCAACTGCGTGGCTTGAATCCTGGACCCAGTGGCTTGAAAAATCACACTGGGTGCTTGTACATGTATGCCCAAAATCCAGAGAGGAGAATGGAGAAGAGAGGATTACAATATGGCCATCCTCCTCAGAGGATGAATGTTTACTTTCCTTCTCTTCTAATTTCTCTCCTTCAAATGCATGTGCCCTATAGCAAACAAACAAACAAAAAACAAAAGAAACCCTCACTAAAACTAAATATATATATATATATATACACACACACACACACACACACACACACACACATATATACAGGTAAATAAAATATTAAAAAGATGGTGGATATAGAAAAGATTCAATAATTAGAGAAAGCTCTTAAACAAAGGTTGGCCTTACAAGGAGGAAGCCCTCTGCCTCTCCAACTATAGAGAAATCCTAAGGGCAGGTGGAGAGACAGAGCTGCCTACTACCACTCACCTAAAAAGTCATGCAAGTGGAGGGAGAACTGAGGGCCCAAAGAGAGTGTAGGAAGCCCAGTAAGAGTGCTGGTGGTATGAGCAGGAAATGCATTAAGGATTATAAGGACTACAGGGCCAGATGCAGCTGGACAATGATCATGAGATAATGTGAAGTGTCCATAGTACAGTGCCTGGTTCTGTTTGAATTAGCACTGAAAATAGACTAGGTCCTATTTTCCTGCAAAGGACTAGACACTCAGACATACCAGGAAAGAGGCAAAGAACTAACATGTGACTTTTGTGATATAGTCAACTTGGCAGTATAATCTACTTACGATTTTAGAAATGATGCATCTTTCAAGCAAATCTGAAATATTAAGAAAGACATGTTATAAAAGCAAACATTAAAAACCTGATATTAGGGGCCAGCAAGTGGCGTGGTGGTCAAGGGCGCTGGATTGCCACATGGCTGACCACAGTTCGAGTCCCAGATTTAACAGCTTGCTTTCTCACTTTCTCTCTCTCACTTTTTTACTCTGTCACTCTCTGGTCAAATTAAAATAAATAATAAATAAATAAAGATAAATAAATTAATTCTTAAAAAAAACCCTGATATTAAGAAACTAATTTTTTGTTTATTCTTAACTCTCTTAAACTATTGTATTTCACCAAGTCTTATTTGTTTGCTAAATAAAAATGTTCTGAACATGATTTCTAAGTGGTGCTATCTTAAAGAAAAGGGAGGTACGACTAGAGGAAGTTCTTATTTATAATGACCCAGACAGTCATAGTTTGCAGAGTAAGGATTTACAACGAGAATGGGGACTCCATTCCTATCCCCTAGTAACAAACATGCTACACCTCAGTCCAAAAACCTTTTCGAAGCACAAACAAAACCCTTTCCCCTTTCTGCCTTCTCCTATTCATCAACCAAAAGGCAGCTCAGGTATCACCTCCCTGGGAAGCCTCCTGCCTTGCAGGAAGAGGAAGGAAAGATATCCAAATTGGAAGCACCATGATCCTTCACTTCTTTTGGTCACAGTCCCTCTTTGAGAATCTGATAAAGGCAGAATCTCTTTCCAGGAAAATGCGTGCTCTCAAAAAAAAAAAAAAAATACATACAATTGCCGTGGAGTCTACAACTTCTAAGGCTCCAGGTTAAAATTTCTTGCTGTTGAGAAACAAATGGATACCTCATAGGTAGTTAGCAACACATGAAAACGCGGATCCTGGCTTAAATCTTGCTGAAGGTGGGCTCTTTCCTCCTTGTTGCCTGCATATGTTACACAGGAAAGGCCTGGAGCAAATCTGAATCCAAGAAAAGAGTGTAGATGGACATAAACGCTACAGCCATAGGACAGGGTGTGCTTATCTCAAAAATTACATTTCATGGAAGGTCCAGCACCAGAATGAATCCCGGGACTCTGAATCTTAGCTAGAGTAATGGTTAAACTTCAAGACAAGTTCCCATGTGAATAGTTAGTTAATAGAGTCAGATCTAAGAGGGTCTTGGGCTAACTATAAAAATAAACGTTTTCTTCTATATAAGTTACTTTGAATGCCACTATGGAACAGGTGGTTTCTCCTTTAGTTCTGCATAATTTACCAAAAATGAGTGCTGATCTTTAAATTACCAAATAGTAACAATAACATCCACTGGACCCTCCCCCGACAGATCCTACAATGTTCCCCTACATTGTTTAAGTTCAGAGTTTCCTGGAATAAACACACTGTTTATGACAATATGTTGTTTTGTCATATTTTACACATTATTCAGGAAAAAAAAATTCTTCATCAATGTAAACAGTAACATTTCAGCTACACATACTCTTTACCTTTCCATCTCTTCTTTCCAGTTGCTTAAAACCGACAAAGGACAAAGAATCAGAAATGGCCCTTCATCATTTAATCTTCCCACCAAGTAAAGGAAGAGAGCAATTGTCTGGAACACAGAAAAAGTAGGCAGTTTTGAGCACATATCTCCGGGAAAAACAACCACAATCCTCTAGGAAACACAAACTGTTATGTAAGACTTGCTTTACAAAGAAGTCACATACAGTCTTCCATATACTAGGAAAGTAATCCATTTCTACAGTAAAATCATGAGCTTCAATAAACTTGCCAAAGACATTTATGGGACTCAATTACTTCAATAGTTAATAAGCAATGAGGCAGAAAAAACAATAGAAATCAATGCAATCGATGGGCAAGATCAGGAAGACTCTGGAACCATAAACATAAAAGATACTAAGACCGGATCTGTTTGTTAGAGAAAGCCAAAGACACCCTTCTCAGAGGTTAAATCATCCTCTGAACAGCTCTGAGACTGATGAGGTATATACCTGGCTTAAATAAATTAGTCGGTGACACACAAACTAGCCTGTGAGCCGAACTGCTCAGCTGGATATTTATGTACCTGAGGTTAGCCTTGAAGGGGGCAGTTGAATTCCTAAAAGGGCTGGTGAAACCCTTGCTCATTCTGTGCATATTGGGAAGCCTATCTCCGTGGTTTCTGATCAAGTAGCCTCTGCTATGAATCCTAACTGCAAGGACTTTCTTTGTTGTCCTACAGATAAGTAAGCCATGTGTGACTAATCCATGGGGTGCCCATGATTAGACTTTCCGTCACTCCAAGCACACTCCTGACATCTGTCAACCCGGGGCAGTTCTAATGATCACCTGGTAGAAGCATCAATCTCAACACACCACTTGCTTATTCCCAAGAAGGCCACCATTCTCCAGGTCTCTAGACTCTTACTTTACTGTCTCTTAAGGTCATAATGGTCAAGTCATTTTGGAAAACACAGGGTACTCCCTCTGTACTTCTCTAGCATGGTGGAGAAATGGGAAGGACTTCCACACCCTGCTGAAGGAGATAAATACTAGCAGTGATCCGTTTAACTACATAACATATTGTGAAGGAGATCAATTTATTCCCTAGGCAGGTATATTTGCTTTACATAGAGAAAAACCCTGTATCCAGGCCTTTCCAATACAGTTATAACTCAAGCATGCATGTCTTCTCACAGATACATGTCAAAGGCTAGATAAGAGAAGGGCAGAAACATAATTCAAAATCGTCTCCATAGCTAGAAAAATCAACCCTTAGGTTGTGACTTTTTTAATAAAGTTCAGGCATTTAACTTTCTAGTATAAAAATAAATACTGTAGAATAGGTGCTAAAGAAGGTAATGAGTTGTGAGCAGGTATTTTATGGAGGTGAACAATATTCATTCCATAATAACATACCTGGCAGGTCTTACCCAGGCCCATCTCATCTCCCAGGATACAGCCATGTTGATCGAGGAAGCGCTGGGCCAGCCAGTTGACTCCCTCTAACTGATAGGAGCGTAGATGGACCCCTAGACATACAACACATAGCAAATCCAAAGAGCGGACATTTCAGCAGATACAGAGGAAATGTTCTAAGACATTGAATGAAGAATGTGGCTTAAATTCCCATAATTCCAGACCCTATTGGCCATACCTTGCTGGGAATTTACGGATATGTAAACATTACTAACTTCCAAATTACTTCTTGAGCAGCCTTAATCACCATTATATTAATATTCAAAGCCTTAAAATAGCCTTTCTTGTTAGTTGATCTATTTGGCAGATGAGAAAGTCAACCTGGGACTTAGCTTCGAACTGCCTGAGACTCATGTCCAGTGAGTCCATTCATGGAAATGGACATGAACAACAGTGTCCATTCTTGGAGTATACGTGTGTCTGCTTGCTTAACTACACCCATCTACACTTGCCATCGGTGTCAAAGGAAAACACTGAGGCAGGACAACACTAAATTATGCTTCCACAGAGAAGTACTGTAGTTAAAAATGGAAATGATGTTTCATAAAGGGTGTTTAACGGTGTACGTGGATGGCAGAAAATGTCTGAAATGCACAAGGTGTTTCTGCTGTCTCTTTTCTTTTTTCCTTAGAATAAAAATCCAATTTCCAGAGAGTAGAGAATACTCTTATCTTGTGAAGGGGAAGATCCTAACTACACTTTATACACAAAATATTGGGTTATCAGAAAAGTGCTTTTCTATGTTTTTCTATGAAAAAATGCATCATGGCTTTCCCAATGACCCAAGTAACAAATATATAACTTTCTGGCTTAATTCTTGACTTAAAAAGATTATACAATATGTAATGATTGTAAAATATTTTTAAAATTAAGAACTAGGGCTGGCAGGTAGTGTGGTGGTTAGGGGTGCTGGATTACCACATAGCTGACCACAGTTTGAGTCCTGGACCTGGTGGCTTACTCTCTCTCTCTCTCTCTCTGTTCCTATCTGGTCAAATTGAAATAGATGAATAAACAAAGCTAAATAAAATAATCCTTTTTAAAAAAGAAAAAAATGTATAATTATTTTTATTAAGCACATAAGATGATTAAAAACAATGCTGAAAAGGACCAAAAAATGGCATAATGGTTACGTTACTGGACTCCACATGGCTGACCACGGTTCAAGTCCCAGACCTAGTGGCTTGAAACTCACTCCAGGCATGTGTGCATTCATGCCTAAGATCCTGAGAGGAGAATGGAGGAGAATGGATTGTGGCATAGCCATCCTGATTTCTCACTTTCTATCTCTCTGTCTCTCTGGTGAGCACACAGTCCCTATAGCAAAAATCTCTCTAAAAAAATAATGTTGAACAAGACTAGGTAAGGAAAAAAAAAAATTGGTTCCAAGAAGTATGGATATTAAATCTCATTTCTGACCTCTCTCATAAAAGAAAATGAGGTATGCGAGCATGCGCTTGTTATATATATACACACACACCAAAGACTGGCAGAACACAGAACAGGTTAACAGTAACAGGGTTATGGGGATCAAATTTTCTTTTCTTTATGCATAGGCTATTTTCCTAAATGCTTCTTTACTAGAGGACATATACCACTTTTGCAATCAGGGGAAAAAAAAAATCAGTAAAGAATTTTTTAACCACTTACAATAGTTTCTCACAACATTAATTTACTCTGACAATGTGTACCAAGTTACACAGTTCGGTAGTTATTCCTTTGACTACTACACCTGTATTCTGTTTTCCTTTCTTTCCCACCACTACCAGTGCATCCACCACCACTCCCACTAAGCTTCCACATTTGCTTACTTATTATTGCATTTACTTCCTCTATCACATCCACTCAAACCCACAAACTCTTCAACACTCACCTATGTGCTTCTTGGTGTCTATCTATAGCTGAGTATCTGTGCACACATTTCCAAGCCCCTCACCTATGTTTCAAAGAACCACTGCCAACATCACTTGTGAGGAAACAGACAAACATACAGACATATCAACTTTAGTCAAGCTAGGCCAGACATATAAAGACTGGTTCATAAGCTCATACCTAAATTGGATACACACTCTTTACAGACATTCCTCTAGACTCAACAAGACAAAGGTCTCTTTCATGCCTGCATCCTCTCCACTGATCCTCATCCATCGCTTTTCTAAGCTGAACAGACTGCACCTTTGGTTTCATTCCTAGAATAACAAAATCTCGTACTTCCATGATATTTAGAATGCAGTACGAGTTCAATAAAAACTCGTACTGCAATATTGCAAAAGTGTATTTGCAATAACACTCTCGTTCACTGGTCTGGAATTACAGGCGGCAGGGCTCAAATATGTTTTGCTCATTTCGGTACCCAATGCGGAAAACTAAATGCTCTGTAGCCTCCAATAAATAACGAAGTAACGACTATACGATTTACAGTTAACGCACACACTACGCTCCCATTCTACACATAAAGAAAATGGGGTTGGGGAGGTTAAGTGGAGAATGCGCAGGGTAGGAAAACAGCAGCGGCTCTCGGTCCGCAAATTCAAGGTCTGCCTGGCCTGCCGCAGACCTCGGGGGAAGGCTGGTTTACGGCTTGGAAGACTCTAGGGAAGGGCTGGCCTGAACGAAACCGACAGGCGAGCGCGGTAATCTGCAGCAACGCAATTAATCGGTGGCAAATTCTCAATTAACCGCGCGCGTATAGTAAACAAGAAACAAGCTGTGAGGTGAGTGGATAGTTTCAGTAAACCAAACAATAAACCCAGCCGGGCCATGCTTCCAAACTGACCGGAACAGAAACTTTAAACCCATACCCCTGGGGAGCTGGAACTCCGGGCCTGAACTTTGCGCTGATCTTCCCAGTTTCCCCTCCCACCGACCTTACACCCAGGCCCGTGATCTCATTCATTCCGCATCCCCAGGCCCGCGGAACATGCAGGAGCGGGTCACAGCCACCAGGCCAAGTTTCCTCTCCGCCCACCCCCTCGCAAGAGGCAAGGGAAGGCCCTGGCGCGGGCAGATAAACAGCCTCGGGGACAGTCCCCGAGGGATCCACGGCCAGTGCTAGAGTTGGCCCAACTGCGCGGAAGAGAGCCTGGAGCCCACTCACCTGTCAGTCCCCATAACTGCAAGTCCTGCTCCCGCACCCGCGCCCACGCCGCCTCAGATCTGCCCTGAGTCTGCAGGGCCAGTAGGAAGCGCGGCGCGACGCCCTCCATCCCGGAGGCAGAAGCTCCGCCCCGCGCGGCTGGGCGCGCTCCTCCTTCCGTACGCGCTAGGGCAGAGCCGGCGCGCGGGGACTGGCAGGGGGGCGAAACCTGGCAGGCCGCCCGGGCGGCCAGAGGGCGCTCCCGCGCTGCTTTCCGGAACAGCCGGCGCGGTCACCCGGTGGGCGCACGTTTTGAAAAGGTGTGTAGAAAAATGAAATTAGAGTATTGGTTTATTTTGGTGCAAAAATTTTTGAAATCCATGTATAGTTTTGTAATAGTACACATCTTCCCATGAACCTTTTGAAAAGTCCTGTCAGAGGCTACTGCAATAATTTTGTGGAGTTTATATTTTAAAAGGAGGAGACTGGCAATAAATATAAAGATCAGGTGGTGACTAAAGCTCAGAGAAGTCATACTAGAGCTACACTGATTTTGTATAGCAGTTTTCTCAAAACTTTAAAATAAATTCGTATCCTTCCATGGCTTCTCTAGTGGGCCTTCTGCTTATGTGGCTTACAATGAGTGGTTTTTGCAGTCTATTAAGGTTTTGGGCAAGTCATGACATATTTTTTATGTTTTTCAATGCAAAAGTGTGTCATGACTTTACTGATAGCCCAATAGTTTCCATATTTGACTTATTTCCACTCCTCCAGATTCTTTGGGTAGACTAATCTGGTAATGCATCCATATCAACCAACTACCACTTAAAAGATGTTTATTTTTAACTTATGATACATTTGTTTAGTTTTGTTTTTTTTTGAGAGAGATTATTGCTACTTCCACTCCTCCAGATTCTTTGGGTAGACTAATCTGGTAATGCATCCATATCAACCAACTACCACTTAAAAGATGTTTATTTTTAACTTATGATACATTTGTTAAGTTTAATTTTGTTTTTTTGAGAGAGATTATTGCTACAGGGCACATACGCTCGCCAGAGAGACAGAAAGGGAGAAATCACTCCCCAGCGGGGATGGCCTCACCACATTTCCTTCTCCTCCATTCTCTTCTAGGTATTTTGGTCATGCACACGCAGGTGTTGTGTGAGTTTGAAGCCACTGGGTCTGGGACTCAAACTGCATCCCACTATGTGGGAGTCTAGCAATTCAACCATTATGCCATCTGCTGGTCCTATACATTTGTTTTTAACAGACTATCAGAAATTAAGTCCTGGCTATAAACTGAGTAGGCTGTTGGTATATGATCCTGTAATCTAAAAGACAGTTAAGAAAGGTGGTTGAAAAAGTTCAGTTCTGCTAGGGAGTGGAAGCTTTTAAAAGTTTTACTCCAGGAGCAGCAGATGGCAGAATGGTTACATCACTAGACTCCCACATAATTTACCATGGTTCAAATCCCCGACCAGTGGCTTAAAACTCATGCTCGGTACATGTGAGTGCATGCCCAAAATGCCGAGAGGAGAATGGAGAAGGGATTGTGGTATGGCCATCCCCCCTGGGGGGTGATTTCTCTTTCTGTCTCTCTGGCAAGTGCAGTGCCCTATAACAAAAATCTCTTTACAAAAAGTTTTACTCCAGATACTGTGAAAAGAGTCTATAGAGGACGCCAAGGTGCAATCTGGGTGACCAGTTAGGAGACTACTGCAATAGTCTGGGCAAGATGTGATACTTTGGGGGCTAGCACAGTAGCAATGGATTGGTGAATAGTGACATACTGAAAAGAGAGAGTCCAGAGGCCTATAGGATTCACTGACTGAGCATCCAGGAGAAATGAGTAAAAGAAGATTTAAGAGATTTAATTTGAGCAAATAGTAGAATAAATTGCCTTATGGAGGGAGGAAAGCTGAGAACAAAGAAGTTTGGAGAATATCAAGAATTCATTTTTAGGAACCAGCAGATGGCATAGCAGTGCATTACTGGATTCCCGCACAGCCGACTACTGTTTGAGTCCCTGACCCGATGGCTTAAAACTCACACCGGGCGTGTGTGTGTGTGTGCCCAAGATCCCAGGAGTTGAATGGAGGAGAAGGGATTGCAGTGTGGCCATCCCCTCGGAGTGTGATTTCTCACTTTCCTTCTCATTCTGTCTCTCTCTCTCCCCCGCAAGCACATGTACCTAAGGCAAAAACCACTTAAAAAAATAATTCATTTTTAGGAGCCTATCTCACATGGGAATGTGGTTCAAACCTTGGTTTAGTCAGCCTGAAACATTCCAGGCATGAGTATAAACATCCAGGATCCCACGAGCTGAGAGAACTGGAGGAAGGGGATCCAGGAGTGACCAGGCCCTGTGGAGGGTGCTCATTTCTCTCTCTTCCCCTCTCTTGTGCACACACACACAAACTCATGAATAAAGAAACAAATTAAGAATTCCTTTTTGAGGGGCCAGCAGGTGGTGTGGTGGATAAGGGCGCTGAACTCCCACATGGTCGACCATGATTCAAGTCTCGGACTTGGCGGCTTGCTTTCTCGCTTTCCCTTTCTCTCTCTCTGGTGGTCAAATAAAAAATAGCAATAACAAATGAGATTAAATAAATAAATAATTCTTTTAAAAAAGAAAATTCCTTTTTGAAAAAGTAAGAACTCATTTTTGGGCAGGGTAGCATGAAAAGGTTATTAGTTGTCCAAATAGAGACTTTGAATAGGTAATTCTACAGACCAACTACTCTGTAGTACGGAGGAGACATTAGAACTAAATATATAAAGATGGATATTGTAATTTTAGGATGGATCTTAGGCCTTGGGACTGAAGGGACCCCTTAAGGAATGACTGGAACTATAAAAGATACTAAACCTTGGGCAATTAATATTTAGAATTCCAATTGATGAGGAGAAAGGTGCAGAAGAGACTGAGAAAGACAGTCAGTGAGAGAGTATGAGAACTAAGCGCATGGTATCCCTGAGGCCAAATGAAGAGGATTTTCACAAAGAAGGGAGAGGTTGTCTGTGTTCAGCCACTTGAACAGGCAGAAGGTACAGTATATGGACAGATGTGGTGAAAGCATATGGAAGAACTCTCCAGACTGTTTCTACTGCCTAAGTGAAATAAGAAACTGTCATAAGATGATCTCAAAGCAAGGGAAGAGGGTTTTGTTGGTTTGAGGAGGGAAAGGTTGAGATGGCTGTCTTAGGGAGGGGAGAATGAATCAACTGTGGAGATGCAGTAGCATTGCCAAGCAGCAGAGAGGGCCACCGAGGTTTATGATCATGAGACCAAGCAGCCTGGAGTGTGTTGGATGCAGGTGGGGAAGAGTTAGAGAATGGGAACTTACTGAGATTGGATTTTTTTCAGACAAGTTCGGTAGAGAATGATTTTACTGGCCACATCTCTAGTGTCTAGAATAGAGGTGAATACAAGAGATGTTTCCTGCATTTAGGGAGCATAGAGTCTAGAGATGGAGAAATACAATAAAGCAGGGGTCTTTTAACAAAAGAGTTATCAGAGAGTCTGGTGCTAATAAGACAGTGAGACAGGGTAGTGAGATTGAGAATGAAGATGGGGACGGTCTGGACAGAATGGGTTGAAAGGGTATCACTGAAAAGATGACATTTGAGCTAAGATCTGAATGATGAGGAGCAGCTTTTTAAAACCGAGGACGAATGTTCAAGGCTGAGTAATAACAAGAGCAAAGGCACTGAGGCAGGATTATCAAGAGACTAATACATTTAAAAAATTAGTACACTTGAGTGGGGACTTGGCCATTGATTGGATATAGAGCTAAGGAAGACAGAAAAGCTGAAGTTGAACCCATGGGTTTCTGTCTTGGATAACTGGATGGATATTGATGGCACCATTAAGCTAGATTAAAAAACATTCTGGTTTGAGGAAGGAAAGATAATGAATTCACCTTTAAGATAAGTTGGATACATACCTAAAACAATGTTTAGAATATAGTGTGCACTCAGTAGGTATTACTGAATTTTTGAAAGAGGTACCTGTGAGTGAAGCAATTCTTTACACACACACACACACACACACACACACACACACACATATGAGAGATTTTTGGCTATAGGGCACATGCACTTTCCAGAGAGACAGAAAGTGAGAAACCACCTCCCTGGGAGGATAGCCATGCCACAGTCCCTTCTCCTCCGTTCTCATTTTGGGATCTTGGGCACACACGCACACACGCACACACGCCCAGCATGAGTTTTTAAGCCACAGGGTTCAGGACTCAAACCGTAGTTGACTACATAGGATTCGAGTGACATAACCATTATGCCTTCTGCTGGTCCCTGCGAAGCAATCCTATAATCTAGGACCTATGGTTGTTATAACTTTAGGGCACAAAGAAGACATTTCACAGAAACTGAGGCACAGAAAGTTTAGGCAACTTGTCCAGTGTGTTCTAGTGAATCAGTGTTAGTCTACAGAATAAAGTCTAGCCCAAAGTCCTAATTCATATTCCTTGCCCGCGTTATATAATCATGATGTTTGCATTAATTATTTTATTCCTCCACAGGAAGGGAATATCCTCTGGCAACAATGGCCTAATAAGATAATTGGTAACTAAATCATGCCATTGGTGTACCTTAGCATTTGCGAATCTTACCAAAACAAGCATGATCAAACACAGGTTAGTGAATGAGTTTTGTTTGCTGTCCATTAGGTCCTTGCTCTTTGGATAACAGCAGAGTGCCAGCTGGCATCATCCAGTGAGTCATATACGTGGGTTGCAAGTGAAAAGGTGAAAGTGTACAAATCTCTTCTCAAGCACACAAACTTAGACCTTTGGGCTTAGGTAAGGACAACATCAGTGCCCTGGTGTGGAGAAATCACTGCACTGGAATGAAAGAAACTTGTGTTTTCTTTCTTTCAAGGGGGGGCAGGGAGAATTATATGTTGTCTTTTTATGTAATTATACATCTTTGGCATCAAATGACACATTATAAATTTAGGACCAAGGAAGTCAGGGAAAATATACCAAAGAGAATGCATATTTCAGTACAGCAACAAAGTTAGTCTGCTTTAAAGGACTCTTATCCAATTATGGAGTTATTATCCCACTTTGATACAAAGGTAAGGGCATGGCACTGGAATATTATCAAGAAAATCTTTGAGGACATAGTCCAGAGATGATTTGC